GGTCACAAGCAAAGATCAATGATAAGCTACTGAGTATAGGAATGCAGTGGCACTACAACCCACCGATGGCCAGTCACAGAGGTGGTATTTGGGAACGCATCATTAGGTCTGTTAGGCGGATCCTGTTATCTGTCGCAGGGCAGCAGACGTTGGATGACGAGACACTGAACACTCTCCTTATTGAAGCGGAGCGCATCGTCAACAGTAGACCACTTGTACCGCTAACTTCGGACCCCAACGACCGCGAGGCACTTACACCTAACGATTTGCTGATATTGCGATCCAACGCAACGCATATATTAACGGCCCTGCCTGAAGAATATAACCGCTGTTGGCGACAGGTGAATTACCTAACTGCGTTGTTCTGGAAAAGATGGGTCAGAGAGTATTTGCCGTTGTTGCAATCGAGACAAAAGTGGTTACACAGCAGTCGAAATTTTAGACCAGGTGACGTGGTTTTGGTCTCTTCTGAAGCGAGCTCGCGTGGAACATGGCCATTGGGAGTTATTGAGAGCTGCACTGATTCTGGAGATGGGCTCGTCAGGACGGCTGTTGTCAGAACAAAGGAAGGGTTGTACAAAAGAGACGTGCGTAAGCTCTGTTTGTTAGAAGGAAGTGACACGGGTGGGAATGTAGTTCCGGCTGTTGGCTCTCCGCAGGTGGGAGGCGGGTCTTCGGATCTGCTGCTCCAGGGAGGACCACTGTGAGTCCAACAGCCGAAGTGGGAGGGATCAGGCGTACCGTTGTAAGTCCTGTGACCTCCCATAGCGGATGGAGTTGGCGTAGGGCGATCCAGAACAGAACGTGTCGTCCTCAACCACTGGAAAATCCGGGACAGATTTTCGCGGGGGAGTGTAACGTCCATTTTGTCAACAGCCATCACCCTTCGCCTGGACCCACATTATTGCCCTAATTCCCCTTGAATTCACTCTGTTTGAACGTTCCACGTATACCGCCCTGCATGACCCTTAGTCGTTTGTTTTCCATGCCCACCTTACATTGGTGACACCACCTGTCTCGCTACTTTCTTTGATGCATGCTCCACTTTATCGATCACTGCTTCGCACTTGTTCCATTTGCGTGTTACTATTGAGGTCAGGGTAGACCGGAGATTTTGTGGGGTGGACACACCACCCATCCGGCTGACATGTGCCCCTAACCTCAGGTCTTCATAATGTGTCCCCCATTGAACCTGCTTGATGTGATTGGACTAGTGGCTGTTGGTTTCTTGATTGGCTCACTGGTGCATGTCTCGCATGTCATGTAACCGCGCTGGGTCATTTTGCTGACTGGACGACCGTATTGATGTCCTGTTCTTGTAACGGCCAACTGATTGTACTTGTCTTTGTTTGAGGACATTGTTGAAGTATGTTGTCACTTTGATCTTTTACTCTTTGTATAATAGCACCGTAGTTCAGCATCGACTGTGGCTTTTTTGTTTCTCCGGTGCCTACACACCAACTCCGATCCTTGTCGCTCATTGATCCCCTGTCGGAGGCCGCGAATCGGTGCCCTACGCGTTGTCCAACTATCCTAAGCGATTTTTGAAGCTTGACTTCCAGCGCTGAACCTGCGTCCACGTTGGTGATGCACTTCACTTCTGTATCTGCAAGTACGCAAACGTCTATACCAAGCTTGACTTGTGAAGCCACTGCAGAACTCGAGAGCCTGGATTATCAGTCTTGGCGGCACAAATCCTGCCGGGTCTGTCGGAGTTTACCCGTCCATTCTCAAGTCATTGTCGAGCATCATATCGCCGGCTGTGATTAACATGTTCAACAGATCAAAAGTGTTTTGCTATCTGATTGGAAATGCTCCGTAGTGAAGCCGATCCCGAAAGGGGGTGACTCAAATAAGGTGGATAATTACCGATAGATTTTCTGACCTACGTTTCGGCCAACGTACTCGGGTAGATCATGAAAACGAGTCTGCTGCAGGTGCTTGAGTCAGGCAACTTTCTGATGCCCGTACAGCACGGTTTGACGAAGGACAGCCCGCGTATTACCACTCTGATGTTGTCGCGGCATGATTGCTTGCAAGCATCGAATCGGGGGAAATCGGTGTATGTAATGTACATTGATTTCAGTAAAGCGTTGGACGAAGTGAACCATATGGTCTTCGTCAACAAGCTGAGGATGTGCGGTGTTAACGGCTCACTGCATAAGTGGATCAATGACTTCGTTATTGGGCAAAACTCGAGGGTACTGATGGATGATCACCTAACTGGCTTGTATACCTCAACCAGTGAGGAACCCCAAAGCACATTGCTGGAACCAATTTTGTTCCTGATCCACATCAGCTTCTTCGGTCGCCTTGTGCCTTGTTTACAGAAGAGCCGAAGATTTGGAAAGTAACTTATGCTCCCGACGATTGCGACGCACTTCAGTATGAACTCGACTGCCAATATATGTGGTTTGTAAAGAGACATCTGCCGGTCAACCCAGTAAACTCTTTATATATGAGTCCGCGGAAGCGTGTTGATGGACGAACGTACACACTGGCCGACCAATCGCTACATCCCACGTCTTCCTTGGAGGATCTCGGAGTACTCTCACGCTGCGATTGTAAGGCTATAGATAACACGAACAAGCTATATGGAAACGGACTGCGCATGCTTTGGACGCTCCAAAGGAACTACTGCATTTGGTCTGAAGGGATTACCACCTGCCTCTTCCCTACCATCATAATGCGGTGCTCGAGTATGGATCACCTGCCTATTATCTGACCACCCGTTGCGAGTTGCTTAGACTGAAATGAGTTCAGCATGTGGCTAACAGGCTCATCTCCAGTTTACGAGATATGTCCTCCGAAGACCGATACCGACGACTTGGGCTGTACACTCTGTCGTATCGTTGGTTTAGAGTGAACATCATAGTCACGCACCGGATAGTGATTGCACCTGGGTCACTTCCCCATATTGAGGCCAGTATTTCACATGCGTACACCAAGCAGTACTTTCGAACACGGTACAAGCTCGCAGTGCTGGATCTGAAACATTTAGCTCATTCTATATGCTTTGAGCGGAAACTGGTGAAATATAGTACATTTCCCTGAGAAAATGGTCGGTGCGAAAACGGTGTCAGAATTCAAGAAATTCTTAAACGCTTTGCAGGTTTCAGATATAGGAAGCGCATTGCATCCGAATAGCATGTAGCACGTATGTAATATGCTGCAAACACGCAGAATCAGCGACTTGATTGCGCGCACGTGCCTGGCAAAACTTCGATGGAGCAACACATATATTTTTACTGGGCCTCTTTTTTCAGTATTAAGTATTCATACCACTGGTGATACTTGAAGACCTCGGATAATCACCCTATGCTCCCGCGCGGCCCGATGTCGAAGATTAGACTCTGGATCAAGTTGATGAATACTCACAGACATATCCATTCTGAGTAACCAAGTCCATAGAGCATCCCAGTAAGCGGAGTCGTAAGCAACGCGTACATCCAGGAAGAATACGATGGTGGACGGACGGAAAGCAATACAATGCTCGAGTATATGGCGGTTTTAAATGCGATCAGTACAGTTACTACCTTGGCAAAACCTAGCTGAATCTTTTCGTATGCGCTGTTAGATGCACTGGAGATGAATGTGCTTGTCTACTCTACTTTGGATCCGTATAAGTTTTCACTCCATTTCTCGCGTTGTCATGCTTCATTTGTATGAAAATAATGACAGTCTCTCAGCGAACTAGTGTTTCTTCGGTAGAAGTATTCGGCAGTTGAAGCCTAGGTTCACCGGTTAGTATTTGACAACGGGCGCTCCCTCACTACAGCGGATAGCCAACTGAACTTACACCATCAATGTGACCGCGTGTTCTCATAACTTTAAGCTAATGGCTTCGATGGAATCTGTTTAGGAGTACCCCTCAAACTATACCAACCGGTTGCTTTCAAACCTTTCTGAAATGCACTGCGTTTTTGAGCGAAACCACAAACTGTTCAAATGACTGCAGGATAGTAATTATGAAGAAATTGATAACAACCGTCAGCTGGTCTGAAGAACATGGTTTTTCTCAAAGAGCTCACTGGTTGGACCACTTTTGATTAGGAGTCTTTCAGACTTGACGTATTTAATTTCCAGGCAGGGTTGATAAATGTTTGCGATACTTTAGCTAGTCAAACCATTGGATGAGATCCGGAGAAACCCTCCTGGTTAGGAATATAACTTATAATACACTTTGACCAAACACCACACAAACCCACTCTATACGATCGGTCGACCGCCTCCTGAGCTCTCAAGTAGTCCTCATAATCTGCACAAACCAAAAACCGATCATGATTGACCAGAGTCCTGTGCAAATCTGCAAACAAATCTGGATCCGCCGGGTTGTAGTAGCCAGTTCTGAGTTGCTCCAAACATAACCTGAGCTCAGTATTCTTGGCAATTACTTTGCTTGGGTCGTACCTGAATAAGAAATAAAGAAACATGGTTGAGTTTAATATTAAGACTATCGATGGACGGAGTGAATAAACAACCAATCGTAATTTTTGTTGTGGTTTATCGAGTAGCAAACGAACTCTGACTAATGCAGGGGTCTCCAAAGTCCGGCCCGTAGGCACAATGCGGCTAGCGTTAACAGCGACTAGCCCACGTCGTCATCATGAAGTACTAAATTCAGGCTTGGACATTTTTCGCACATGTGCAATTTTTGTTATTATCTTAATGTCAGACTGAACATGGCCAGACATATTTTTACCTCACAAAATGTGGTCCTACTTTCAAAAAGTTTGGACACCCCTGGGCTAACGAATCAGATATGGCCGCGTTCATTGTTCTGTCGCAACGCAGTCAGCGTTAAATTTCAGAAATGATATCCCTCATAGATTAGAAAGCTATAAATTTATGTAGTAGATAATTTGAACACAAGACGAAGTGTAGCGTTATCAATGAAGACATTTACAAGTTGCCATGACTTGCAGTTCATTTAACTTTACATTTACGAATTTTTAACTTAGCATGTGCAAAACCAGGAAATCTTCCGCACGGGTTCTAAGGACCGATAGCTTTTCATTTTCCTTTGTGATGTAGAAACAAGAAATTGCGAGACCTGCATTGCTTTATTGCTGTAATCGCTATTACTAATACTGTCACTAATGATGACACTAATGTCATCAGTAAAGGTAAGGAAAGTGGGTAACAGTGGAACAAAGCACATGAACAAAACAGGTGAAAATTGGGTGTTGCCCGACAGAACAAACTGCGCTACATACCGCGTTACGATCTTATTGGATCTATTTCAATAGTTTAATAGTGTATGATGAGATAAAAAGCATAAGTTTACAGGACTCACAAGATGGAAATACAAAAGAAAATTTGAATCAAAATGTTCCAAATTGGAACGTGAATTATCAGTGGTTAAACCACTGTGCTTTAACCAACGGTTGTGTAGCGTTTGTCACTAGGATGAAAGTCTAGTAGTCTTTCGAATGTCCCGATGTCTACCGCATTCACCACATATGTTTCTAATATATTTCAGTGGGAACAAATCATAAGAGAGTAAAGATATTTTCTACAATGCAAACGGGAGTGTTGCGTCACAAGCTTTAGGTGCTTGTCTCGGCATTGATTGTAAGGACCGGCGGTCAGCTGTGATGGAAATAGGTGCTCGCGTTCAGTTAGTATCCGGTATGTGAGAATGAAATCTCCGCGAAGACGTTGGTATTCTGAGGAGAACACACTGAGTAAACGAAGACGCAGTTTGTAACTGAGACTGGATAGTCTACGCGTTACCTTGGTGTCTCTTCTTTTGGATTGCTCGAAAAAGCGAATGTCTCGTTTTAACCATGGGCACAAGGCCTGAAATGCATTTAAAAGTGCAGACGAATACACAACTTAACCAGCAATGGTACTAACCGTCGTTTAATGGTGCCGAGATCTCGTCCTAAAAGTCTCAAGTTCTAGTTCGCCACGTTTGCTGCTTTCAAATATTGGAGCGAATTGCCAAGAGTTCCTTGCACGGTGATACCTAAGTCGTGTTGACCAATCAGGTGTTGCAGGACTTGTTGCTCCAAAAGATGTGTTGTTGAGACTGCTATACACCGTCAGCAAGTGACACGTTACAGGGTTCAGTGGGAGCTGGTTCCTTTCTACCCATTCTTTACTCCGAGCCGGATCGTTCTCCTGAAGATAGACAAGGTCGGAGGCTGAGCGAATTGCTCTCCATATTTTAGCATCACCTGCAAATATTTGCATCGAGGATGGAATATTTGCTGGAAAGTCATTGATGTAAACTAAAAACGGTAGCGGGCCGAAGACGGATACTTGCAGTATACCCCCGGGAATGCACAGGCTTTCGGAGTGAGTTTCCACTATTATTAACTTAATATTTCTGTCTTTTAGGTAAGCTACCATCCACGTGAGCAGGGGACAGGTGACACCGAAAGCAGCAAGCTTTTGGAGGAGAACGAAGTACTTAATCCTATCAAACGCCTAAGAAAATCTAAGTGAATCCGATCTCTGGGGACTCCTTCATCAGCCGCCATGATCCTTGTGTCACTAGTAAGCGGCAAATTGGTGAGGTAAGATCGTCTGTGTATGAAACCATGTTGGACATTGGAAATTATTTGTAGACTATAAAAGTATCGCGTCAGTTCATTTGCAATTATCGGTTGCATCACCTTCGATAAAGCAGGAATGATCCGATCGCTTAACTTCTTTGTGAACTGCAGTGATGATGCCATTTTTCCACTCAGATGGGAGCGTGTGGGAGTCAAGCAGATCCTGGATAAAGGACGCAAGTGGTAATGCGGTGGTCGGAGCAAGGGTTTTAGTCACTTTTGGGCAGATCTTGTCGATTGCCGGGGCATTATTATTCCGGCAATTGTAATTTGCTTTCAACAGCTGCTAGGGTAAAAGTGACGCCGGATAACTCGACGCCATTTGTTTGGGGTTGATAAGACGAAGGTCCATGGTAGTTGTAGTCACTGAGCCAAACTGCGGGAGTAGAGAGTTCACGGTACCCATAGCAGTAGTTGTTAGGCCACTGTCGGTCTTGAATGGTGGTATTCATAGCTTAACCTTTCTTTTGACTTTCATATACCTTTATAACAGTTTGGCATTACTCGTAAACATCAGTACCGTTTTCTCCTGTCATTCGTACTTGTCGACTGTAACGAGTGACATGCAATAGTTTCCGATTGTTTTGCAATGCTGCCATATCGCATGGGCTTAGCGAATATTACCTCCAGATCTCATCTCTTATGTTGATACAGTCACGTGTTCTGCTTCCGATCTAAGTATTGGTCCGGCACGATGCTCCTAATGGTTCACTTTTTGTTACCGACCCCGTTGATGTTATCTTTCCCTTCATTCCATGTGTCGTTCACTGAACTGTGCGTCTGTAGGTCCCAGTCAACGGTTGCCACTAACGTTTAGCCTAAAACAGTCATCAGATAATGGCAGACATCAAATCTTGGACCATTGGGATGTTAGTTGTGACCGCTACTCCGGGCGGCCAACGCCCAATTTCCAGCTGCTTCGGCTGCTGTCCCAGCGGTCGCATTGACCAAGTTTCATTTCAATCTGAATTGCGGTCCACATTGTGATTGTGCGTCACAATCGATCCACACCACATGTAAGTAAAAATGACCCTCCAATCAGAAGAAAAATGTTTCAAGGAAAAACGAAGCTATGATACATCAACGGTCTAGTGAGCAAAATCACGATGACATCAAAGTTTGGCGAGCGATCAGAGCTCCAGAGGACGGCATCTAGCTTCAAAACGATCTTGATAAAATCCATGGATGGGCTGTCCAAAATGGCCCTTACTTCAATGTGGCTGAATGTCGAGTGCTCCGTTTACGTTACCGAGTGGTTTACACCTAGAAGCTGATGCCCCAGGATCTGCAACACTGTTCCCACGAAACGGATCTCGGTGTGCTGGTCCTGAAATGTCTCGTGTGCTCGGAACAGTCTGACAGATCATCGAAAAAGGAGATTCAACTTGTGGAGCTTCTACGGAGGGCTTTCAGACACTTCAAACCGTCTATTTTTCGCCCACTACTTCCACCTTACATATGCCGTCATGTAGAATATGCAATTCAAGCGTAGAACTCATGGATAAAGCGGGATCTCACTGCCTTAGAGATACCGCAACGTCGGGAGACGAAAAATGTCAAGGGACTGCGTCACTTGGCATACAAACAGCGCCTCAGATTGCAAGGCGTTTTCAGCCGGCACTATCTGCGTTCGCGTGGCGACCTAACCATGGTTTATGAAACTTTAAACAACCCGAATCACCCGTGAAATTATCTGTTAAAGCGGAGTAACAACAACAGACTTGGAGGTCATCATCTCAAACTGGCAGAACAATACAGCCGGTTGAAGATACTTCTCGCTGCCTGTTTGGGACACCCGGAATACCGTCTCGGAAGCTGTTATTTCAGCTCCAACGTTAGCAGTGTTTACGGCTCTGGTCAACGATGCGCTTGTTGTACTACACTATATCACGTAACCCAAACGACCCACACAAACAACGGAAGAGCCAAAACAAAGCAACCCTCCATTTTGCCCGGAAACCACAGACGATGACCTTGGATAATGCAAAAAAGCAAATGTGGATTGCTCAGACGGGGAACACTGTGACAGGCAAGTTGGCTATTTGTGTCTGTTCACTATTTTCTGTTACTATTTTTTGCTTTCTTTTTGCTCAGCCCTAACCAATCTTCCGGCAGTACACGTCAAGCTTCCGCTATTTTTCTCCACAATATACCAGCAAGCAATGAGATGAAACACAACGGCTCCATAGTCATAGACACATCCTGTCGCTGAGTAATCAGCCCCAAGTATCTCATTTTGAGTCTAGCCATTACAAAGAAATTAGTCTTAAACACATTCCAGCAGTTTGTCTGATTGTCGTAAACCTTTAGCTATAGGGGTGGCGTTCTCGGACCTCTTATGGGTCACAGAGCCTCCAGACCATGACTGACGGAGCGAGCCGGTATAGTTTATCATTAGCTCCAGCATATGGTGTGATCCTTCTCCACGGCTACCTTACAGTCGTGTAGAGAGCAAGGTTATCTCATAGAATGAGGAGCTAAACAATAATGAATGGTGAGTGAATACGGTAGTATACATGAAGTTATCAAATCAGCAGCCGCAACATATAAAACCAAATGCTGGGAAAACACTTGCTTAAATGCCGATTAGGCCTTACGTCGAAGAGAACATGAAACCAAGTGAATGGGCGTTTTATACATTATCGAGATTACGAAGTAACCAAATTTCATGTTTCTAGTTGCTTTGAAACCCAACTCAGTTGTGCTGCACCGCATAGGTTACTTACACGCAATATGCATATACCGATGCAACAAGACTAAAGTTGTATTTTCATCACAAAGGCTGACTGCACACCCACGAATATATTCGTCACAAATAAGGCAAAGTCAACTAAATATAACAACTAACAAACCGTTTCCCTTTTGTTTGCACAGTAGTGCCTTGCCTCCACTCTTTACCGGTAGATACAAATGCTGCATTTGTGTAGAAACTAGGCAAGTTCACAAAATTTCCATTGACCCATAAAGAAATTTTTCAACTGTTCGCCCATGGCAAACGCTTTCAAGAAATTCGCTCACGATGAATCATTAGTCCGAGCGATGAACCAGTAGCACTTTTTGCGCATCCACTAAGTGACGATGGACATTGGTTTTCAGAGTGACGGCACACTTCAAATTCGGGTATCGCCAATGATGAACGAGGAGTTGTCAATGGAAACGTTAACACAACAGCCCACGGAACACTTAGTGTGAAGTCCGAGAACTTGCGAGATCGCGTTTACCACCATCACTGAGTGCACGGCTTCGAGCAAAATGTTTACGGAAGAGTGGTCGATACGCAACGGTGTCTACACTTAGATTTGATAACGAACAACAGCACTCATTAAGCAGGATGACGGTATAACTGGTGCAGAAGTGGGTTGGATGACGAATATACTATAGCATAGATATGACCAAAACCGTTGTACATTTCAATAAGTCTCCGTGGCAGTAACACAGCGTTACTTCCTGGAGGTTGCCAGAAACACATCCGTAGTTATAAAAATGGCCAATTCCACAGACATAACCTTCACTTCCAACAACACATTAACTCCTAACATTGACCTATGTGATGAAAAGGAAAGCAGTAAGTTTGTTGAGCCGTCACGAAATTATGATCAAAATTCTCCAACGCAGTTTCAACCTTTTCCTCTAATTACGTCGATTCACTGCGTTTTCTGTGATCCATGCTGTTGTGACTAACAGCGAACAAAGATTCGCACCTTAGAACAGGTGAACTGCCGCGCGTCCTTAGTTAGCATTTATATATGAGTGCCAATGTTCAAATTCTGTAACCTACGGTTTCAAATTTAACGGAGATTTCGTTACGCGGTCATGTCCGGTTCGTTTGCCAATCTCTGTTACATGCACAAATCGCTCACCAACTTTTGTGCCCATTGTCACGATTTTCCCTGCGTTTCAGCTCCAGCCCTGCAAATTCACTTGAGACATTGAGTCTACAGTCTAAGACATTTCACGTAACCTACTAACCTGTTTGTTTGATGGCATATAATATTATCCTACAATGGTTTTCGGTCTTACTTTGGTGAGTCTCGGTGCCACCATGGGTACCGAAATCACATGTTTCGCTCTTCTTACGAGCAGCACTGGCCTACGAGTACCATCTCGGAAATGGTAGCACTTCGGACGTGCTTGTATACGATCGTGGTCATTTGTGCAACACTTTTGCTGCGCTTATTCCACGAGACAGATGTTGATCTACTAGCATTAAGAAATCGTCGAGGTTGATCCCTCAAAAGTATTTGATATTCCTCCACATAGTACCCTGAACTAGCTCCGGCCTGGTTTCGTCTGGACGTTACTGAATCGTCCTAAGCGAATTGCTGCTTACAGCATGTGTATTGGACACTTTGATCTGAAACCAGAGCACAATGTACTGTTAAAAGTTCCATTATCTCGTAACTGGATCGGCGGAAGGAACACGCGATCTTGAGGTCCGTGAGAGGATGAACGATGGACGAAAGTTGGCTCACGCATGACCTGGAATGCGGTTTGGACGGGGCCCCTTACCCCTTGGAGCGCAAGGTTTTGACCTCCTCTAGTGTGCGACCGAAGATAAATGCGTTCTCCTCCCCCACCTCTTGGAAGATTTCCACATTAATCCCGTCTCGTGTGCCAATCAGAAGCGAGCCGTTCAACTGTTTGAAGAAAAGAGAAGGAATGATATGGAACGTAGACGAAAGTTGGGTATAATTTGACGCATAACACATGAAGAGATGTGCTAAATGAATTCAGAGACTGGCAAGGAATGTAAGTTTGGCTCCGTTTTGTCGGTTAACCCGACAAAAATAAAGGGCGGACAATAGGAATGACTCTTGAAAGTGGAGCGATTGGACGCATAAATGTATAGCCTAGCGAAAATGTACGTGCAACGGTAACGATGTTTTGAATGCAAAACTATTTCTAAAGTATGTCTAATAAGAATAAACTGTAAACAACACGGTCAATCCTATATGGCCCAGAAACTCCAGTGAATTCGTTGCACCAATTCTGGGTTGTGAAGGACAGATGTTGTAATGTTAACCACAGGAACTAACGAATGAAACACGGTCCAGCCAGTAACGCATTTCTTCCCTCCCCGTCAGTTCCGATAGGAGCCGAGTTACGCAGCCGTGGTGTCGTTTTGGGTCATCATCCGTTTACTGGAACATTACTGCTTGGATTCACCCGGTGGAGAATCGGGAGCGTACAGGCTTAAATCTGCTCAGTGAGAACTATGCCGTTTGCTCACATCACCATTAGTTTTTCAGCATTACGTTCCCTTTATTGGAAGTTGAAAGGACAGAGCCAGTAAAATGAGCAATTCTGTTACAACACCTAACATAAGTGGAGGAAAGAGGTAGCGTTGATGTACCCTCGTTTTTGTGGTAACTCGAGAAACAGCCTGACGTTTGTACTACTCGGCATCGGGACACGTGGTAGAGAGAGAACTTAGAGTCAAAAGGAGTACCATTTTGCTAATTTCAAGGATAAACAGCACCAATTGTTGGCGCGGACAAGTGAGTCGAATGCTTAGTGACCTGTATGTATGTCGTTACCCAGCCACTCGAGGAAGCACAGTTACGTGACAGGTAGTTCGATTAACGTAGAAACCGAACTGGTTAAGGCGTCACGTGAACCATTTCTACACCGTCACGGGACGTTTGTGATCAATGTCAAAACGACGAAAGTATAGAGAGTACCACGATGGATTTCCTATGAGATCCTGTCATGTTATTCAAACATGGGCACATAAACTGCTAGCTTTATAATGTCTTTTGATGCCACATGAAACGTTCACCAAGAAAGGAATTTTCGCCACTTAACAAAAGCAAATGAAAGACGTTTCTGGACCAAGAACCTTATTTCCTTTTAAAAGTATGCACATGACGAGCTTTTAAACTAAGCGGGGTGACATCAATGTCACAAGGGTGTACAGCCGCTAAAGTAAATGAAATTTTCAGTGCAGGTCTGTTGAATCTTTAAAACTGCACCACTCAGAGATCTACTCGAGCTAACTAAGAGCGGAACAAATGTCCGCCTTTATTACTTAATGCTCTACTAACTGGGAGCCTTCTAGGAGTTGTGCTGTAGGCGAGCTGACGTTCTTCGTCTGATGGATTCCTGAAAACCACCAAAATTTCCCATCAAGTCTACTACACCTAGTCGGACGTTTCATGGCATTACGGTTTTACTGAATCTGTATAATCAACCGTATTAACTCCAGAGCCTCAACAGAGCTAGCCTACGGTTCAGAGCTCTATCCACGTGTTGGATAACTCCATTAAGTAAATAAGCGGTTTTCAAAGCATTCCGTAAGGCACTTTAGAGATGATTTCAGCAAGTAATTGAGTCACCATCTCATTGGTGTGGGACAGTTGAGGGACCAGTTCGTCCTCATACTGCTGACTGCGAGTCCAAACGCCGAAGAAAATCAGCTACTTGACTCTGCTTATGCCATAATGGTGAGTATCGCGCATGCGTGTGCGCGCTTTAACGCGCAACTGCTATCTCAATTAACCGGTAGTATTCGGCTGAGGTACGTCAATTGTAGCCAGTAGTAACGTCACTAGCTTAACTCCAAGTTAACGTAGAGTTCGGTAGTAAGCCAACATAAGGGTAGCAATCAACCGCACATATCTGGAAAAATGGAGTACAATTATTTGTAAAATCAAAACGACTTCCCAGGCATTTTCGGGGCGGTGCTTGGCCTGTCTCCACAGATCCCCTACGGAAGCAGAGATCCGATGAGTAATCCACTCTTGAAATATCATAAAGCTCCTGTCCGGATTTCACACAGCCAATGAGAACAGAGTTTCTGTGTTTCAGTCAGCCAATGAAACATGAGTAGTGACGTGGTGATGAATCGGCCACAACACCTACCCGGCTCTGTTCCAAAACGGTGGGAACACACTTGTCAGTGAAATCCTGTTACTGTTCATGAAAGTTTGGAATGACGAGAAAGTCCACATTGTGATGGCAAGAATCAGTTATTGTCCCGATTCATAAGAAAGGTTTCCGCGAAGATTGTGTCAATCACCGCGGAATTTCGTTGATTTCTGTTGCTTCCAATATTGTTGTGTCTGTTCTACTCCGCAGGCTTTCAGCGATTAGAGAAGGTGTTCCCGAGAGAAGAACAAGCTGGTTTTCCTCCAGGCAGTAGTTGCATTGACCAAAGCTTCATACTCTGTCGACATCTTGAAGTTAGTTACGTCTACCGACAGCCAAAAACCATAGTGTTCCTGGTCCTCCGAATGGCATTTAACACAGTAGATAGATCTGCCTCGTGGAAGTGTCTACTAAGGAAAGGTGTGCCCGACAAATCTGGAACCATCCTGAAGTAGTTCCATAACCACACATTGGGCAAAGTCAGGGCTTAAAACAGGCTTTCTTCTTCGTTTGCTGTCACCACCGGCGTTCGTTAAGGTTACTCTATTTCCCTTTCCTCTTCAATTTTGTCATTGAAGATGTCGTTTAGCGTGCATTGAAACGCGTCTAAAACTGTGGAATTGGGCTCCCAGGTAATAGACTTTCGGACATGGACCACGCCGATGATATCACCTGGCTTAGGGACGATCCACAAGCAGGTCAGAGTGCTTGGGAAGGCTTAGCAGTGGCGGCGTCTAAGCATCGCCTGTATTTTATCCTAGGCAACTGCAAAATGCCACTCCAGGATTGGCAGATGCTTGTGTCACTATTGCTGGTGACGTGCTGGAAAAGTCCCCTGCTTCACATATCTAGGTAGTTGCACCACGGCTGGCGTCGTTGTTAGAGATGAGATGTCAAAACGGGTAGCAAAGACCTGCCTCGCATTTATCAGACTGAGATACATATGGCTTCGTCGCGATATCAGTTATAAGCTGAAGCGCAAGGTGTACATGGCCTATGTCCTTGCGGTCCTCTTGTACCGCTGTGAGTCCTGTCCTATTCGTTAGGAAGGCATGAACCGTTCATCATTTTTGACAATCGTTGTCTTTGTAGGACTGATGGCGTGTGGTGGCAAGATCACGTAAGCAACACAGTAGCCCGAATCCAAGGGTTTAGAGAATACAGCAAACACCTCCAAAACGTTATTCTTCGACACCGCATGCGTTGGCCCTGCCACGTAGTACCCACGCCAGCCTATCACCTACCCCGTCGAGCGTTATTTGCGCTCCACAGAAGCGATTGAAAAAAGTGCCGCGGTGGGTAACCAGTGACGTGGAGAGGAAGCATGAAGAAGGCAAACGTAAGCTTAGCACCCGTTGGATCGGTTTGCCTACCAAAATACGGACCATGTGACTCGGACTGACAGTAATTGCAAACGCTACAGGTCATGGCGTGCAATAGACACCGGTGGCGACAGCGTCGTACAACCGCAACATTTGTGAATGGCGAATCGAGTCTATATAAATATAAAGTTTAATATATATATATATATATATATATATATATATATATATATATATATATATATATATATATATATATATATATATATATATATATATATATATATATATATATATATATATATATATATATATATATATATATATATATATATATATATATATATATATATATAGAAGCTGGTGCTGTTTACACATTCTACTGGGTGGGGAACGCCACCACAGCCCGACGTGAACATGGGGTCGGATTGGGACTATCCGACCGCTCAAGTGGCCCGCTGGTGACAGATCCGTCCGGTATCAGCCTACGACTGATGACACTCTACACCATTTCCCGGCCAAGTTGTTATCTTTGGCAACAGAAATAATCTGAGGGGGCATTCAACATGAGTCGACTCAATTAATTTGTTCCGCGCGTAGGATCTGAAGCGTCCCACCTGCACCCCTATGACTTAGTGCGTCTGAGGTCCAATTGGTTGAAGGCGACGAGCTATACACGCACATCTACATATCTGCACAAGTGACTGGCGTACGCACGGAACAAATTAATTGAGTAGACTCATGTTGAATGCCCCCTCAGATTATTTCTGTTGCCCAAGAGGACAACTTGGCCGGGAAATGGTATAGTTGCGACTTTGAATGGATAAGTATTTCACCTTTGATAGCACATACAGTCTCACCAGGTGTTATTCTGAGGACAAAAATGATCAGGTTTAAGCTGTTATACTCCGCGCTGCGATCTGTGCCGAGGGGGGATCGACTATTCTAACTAAGTGATTTCAACTCGCGTGTTGTGTGTGATGCTGCGGTGTGGACAGACGGGATCGGTCCACATAGTATCGCAGCGCCAAAGGGAACAGTGAGCCGCTGCTCTCTCTGGGCGTCACTCAATGCCTAACGATCACGAACACACAGTCTGCACTGTTTGCGAGTGATTTAGCTATTTGGACGCACCCGCGGAGTGATCAAACTCAACTGCTCACCTATGTCATCGTACGCCAGCGTGACATGTGTGAGGTGAGCATGACACGTGTACTGTGTGCACCTAATTGTGGCACTGATCAAAGTTCGTTCGGACTGATTCATACATCTATATTCGTGAATCTATGTATCGCACTCCGGCCGTGAACCGGCGGAAATAACCCGTTATTTCCCTAGCTACTGCTAAGAAGAGGATGAACTGGAGAAGGTGATGGCTACCCGCCTGGTTGATGTCAAATCCACAGCCTCAGTGAGTGACCTGTGGCACCACATGCGTGAACTGATGACAGGTGATGCCGCTGAAACGATCAAGCGAGCATACTGTAAACAGTCCGCTTGGTTTGATGACAACATTGTGGTCATTGGCGCATTGGTGCCGGCGAAGAATGCATCGTTTGCTGCACTTGCGGCGGACCCTGCTGACTGCCAGAAGGAGAGTCATTTCCGCCAACATCGACGGCGGTTGACTCGAGAACTCCGTCGCATCAAGAATGTATAGTGTATGGAAAAGGCGAAACAAATGAAATGTTACGTTGAATGCCGCCCGCATAGGGAATTCTTTGACACCTTAAGGGCGGTTAATGGACCCACGTTGTAGGCCCTGAGGAGCTGCACAATCCTATTTCAGACGCTGCCTGTACACAGACTACAGAGATATTGCATCTGGCGAAAGCAATTTGACTGTCTGTTGAACAACCGTTCAGAGATTGACTGAACTGTTTTACGGGCTGCAAAAACAAGAGAGGAAGATGTGCCATGTACACACCGACGCTGGATGAGACGCATATAGTGTCGTGCGGTTCTCCGAGAATCAAGAATACAGTCTGGGCAGCGATTACGAATAGTTATCAAATAGACCTATGGTTGTTTGGAAAGTACATACAGTATTTCGATGTTATCCGTTCACTGGCTGGCCCACGTTAACTGGCCAGTAACGTCAGTTGCGTCCCACTAGTTTGTGCTCGTTCAGCTTACCGGCTGATCCACAGAGGTCATGGTTTCACTGGGCCGGGTTAGTTCCACGTGATCAGTTCTAATGAGTAGGGTTTGATTGGTCACTCGCCCCCTCTCGGCTGTGCTTCCTCAGTTGAATATCTGCCTAAGCTTATGTGCGTTGCTGCAGTGTGCTCAGACGTATGCCATCCACTCACCGTACGACCGACTAATCCGACTCGCTGTTCTGCTTTTGCACTAGACCAGACCATTCGTGTGTGCAGATCCATCGGTACTGCATCAATTCCATCCGCTACCAGTCTCAACCATAATCACAGAGAGCGCTAGTTCAGCTGCAAAACGGCAAGTGTGCCGGGGCGCACGTGATCCCGTCAGAAGAATTGAAACACGGCGGACCCGTGTTGATCACGGCACTGTGCACTGCACACAATGCTTTATTTAAAGCAAGGGTGTCCAATCGCTTTGCAAGGAGGGCCACATTTGGTGAGGTGAAAAATACGTCGGGCCATATTTGGTCTGATATTAAGATAATAACACAAATTACGCATGTACGAGAAAAGTCCGAGCCTGAATTTTTCCTTTCATGATGAGGCCTCGGGACAGTTGAAATCCTAACGCGGGTCGCATTTGGCCCGCAGGTCGGACTTTGGACAACCCTGATCTAAGGTATTCCATCAGATGGCTGGGAGCCATGTAGAGGGTGCCCCGCTACCGCTCAACCACTACTACATGTTGTCACTGCTACTCCCAGTCCTAGGTTGGGACGCATTTCATCAATCAAGGCAGTTGGATGACATACGCAACCACAAATTTATTCCGGTAACATAACTGTGCATGATTTGAACTGCGTTGTTTCTTCCATGCGCGTCGATACCATTGCTACCACGCACTCCGCCTCATCCCTATTGTAAATAAGAACATGAAAAAACGTCGCTATCTTCGGCACCTAGCTATCAATTCAGCTGCGATTTCCGTAACAGTTTTAAATTATTTTAAACAGCCACCATGCCCGTCGCCTCACCAGAGGTCCTCACGGTGGATGACCTTTGCTAGCTTGGGGTATAATGCGGCACTGTACTAAGGACTTGTCCAGGCCGATTTGTAAGGTGCGAACAACGGCGTTGATCATCTTCGCGGAATTAGCTAATTGCACGGGATCCCTTCCCCTTGATATCGCAGTGACAAAGGGAAAAATAGGAACACTTGCCATGAATTTCATGTTTCCAGTGCCAGCTGCTTCGGTGCCAACGCATGGGATTTGCTCCGACAGGTCGGCTGCCGGTATAACACGCTCGGCAAGTGATACACGGTAGTCCTCCAGGAAGATCAACTATAGGAGAGCGGTAAAAAAATGGACGGATCAATAGAAATGACTGACAGATGGTAAACAGCACGAAGAAACAAAACATTACGTTTTGGCTTTACACCGCTCTTGTGTTCAGTTTAGTTGGGTTTAGTAAAACCGGTCTATCTTCATCAGAACCACACTATTGCTAGATGTACCCGGATCTGGCTCATAGGTGTCAATCCTACGAATTAGGGGTTAAGAAGGGCGCTACCGATCACTAGTATGCCAAAACAAATGTGGTACGTTTATGACCTGCGGTTCATTGAGCTATCCTGTGTAGTGCTTCATGCCTAGTAAAACTGTTCGTATGAAATTGGATCGTGGTAGGAGATTAACTGGGTTCGATCTTATCATCACCTTCAGATCAAAATAAGGAGAAATGCAGAAGCAGCTTCAGTAATATGACATGGTCATCGGATAGTTAGTAAACCATTGTCTTAATTACGACTAACAGAGAAAGCTGAATTATGCACCTATCTTACAAGTTGCACGATTAACGTGGGTGCGGGACAAACTGTTGTGCGCTGTCTGGTTGTACAGCTTATCGGAGCTTTTCCTTTGCTGTGGAAATTCCACAGAAGTTTCACATCGACAGACAGCCTTCCGTTTTCAGATTTGCCTGTCACTGTGGTTAGCCACAGGATGCCTGCGCCTATAACTGGTTCATGGTTGGTTTACGATGCACCAAGCACAGCTCCAACCACACCCCTGTATCCAGTGTAAACCCGAAGGAATAAGACCAGGATGCATGCGGATGGGAGGCACGTTTCATCGACGAAGCCGGCCCATACTCCTTCACAGCAAACACAAGCAGGCTGTATTTGGGAATCAAGCGCACACAAGGTGGTGGCTGAGCTGCGGTCCGCGCCACACTGGATGGAACCAGACTTTGAGCCTCGCACGGCCGCGAGGATGGCGCACTCCGTCCTCTCTAGCAAAGATCCACTGTCTCCTAGAGGCAGTAATCTAGGTGGGGAGTGTTAGACAGGTAAACATTCACATCAAACAAATCACACCTGGGATATAAACAACCAACAGAATTTAGTGGAAAGCAAACACGCACAATTGAGACAAATTATCCAGCAGAAAAACAGAGCGCAACAAACCAACTAAACTGAAATTAACTGTATCCAGATGAGAAAGTCCTAGTTTAAGTCTAAGTAGGTATAACTTAACTGCGGTGAAGAAGCATCATGGATGCAATATGAAACAAAATGAGACATATATATATATATATGTATATAACAATTGTCCATATAAAAGACATCGAGTCATCGAGAGACCATGGAATGAATGTGCATAATAAGTATCTAAATCATAAAATTGAAAATGCCAAAGAAGGGTTAATGTTTTTCAAGATGCTTCGGTTTTTTTGTAAATTTAGTGATTAAGTTGTTCCGTAAAATCATTACATAGATCCATGCAATCCTTCAACTTTGTGCATTTACGCGCCATGTCCGCAAGAATTCGCAACCAGAGGTTTGCTTCTTCTCTGTCTTCTAAGCCTGCTAGACTTACGCGGCCGGCAATTTTTAGACTGGAATTCAGCGCCTTACGTTTTATCCCCATGTGACAGGTTGGCAAACGCGCGATTTCTTCCAGTGCGGCTCTGCGCGAACAAATAGAGCGCGCTGCTGTGAGCGCTCGTTGGACATGCGAAGGATGTGAACTAGCAGCCTCAGTCTGCGCAGCGATATCAGCTAGTCGAGAGGTAGGCCAGTATAACCTAGGACGCAATAGCTAACATTGACATTGCAAACGTGGTTTTCCCACTAAAAACAAGCTATGTTCCACAGACTATCGTTGTCAAAAACCGGAATCCGGCTCATACTATTTACACAGATCGGCCAGGACTCACTTCCGTACAACAAGGCCGCGCGAACACAGGCATTGTAGACTCTGCACTTCACTAAGAGTGACACGTCACGACTAGACCACAGATACCTCCCATCAGCGAAAGCTGATCGGGCTAGGGAATACGGAGAGAAATCTCCCCTCCAACGATGTCATCAGAAGAAACGTAACTCCCTAGGTGGATGAAGCTCTGTACTTATTCAAGCTGCATGTCTTCATGATTGCACGCGTGGGCAGATGGATGCCAATCCTTTAATAGGACCTTACAATTCGATGGAGCGAAGTTCGTGTCATACTTAGTAACCTCAGTCTCCAAGCGGTTTAGAGCGACGTGCATGATCTATAGGTCATCACCGTGCAAGGCAATGTCATCATCATATTCCAAATCAGTCGCGCGGTTGCCTAGAAGAAGGTCTACGCCAGAATTGTGAAGACCTTCCAAAGTGCTTAATAGGACATTCTCAATCATAAAGTTGAACAAATACGGGGACAGGGGACATCCCTGTCACACAACGCTAGTGAGGACGAAAGGTTGCCGGCGAGGTTGCCGTAAACGTTCACTCTACCAGAGACATTGTTTTATAAAGCTCGAATTATGATAGTATACCCTTCGGGTACCCCCTGCCTCGGCAGACAACGCTATAAAGCAGGCCAGTCGATTGTGTCGAACGTAGCTCAGATGTCCAAAATGGCGACAATGGTATGCTTGCACTAAAGCTGACGCCGCTCGAGGAGTTGGCGAAGAGTAAACCTGTGGTCCAACCACCTTCGACCAGGGTGGAAAACTGCCTGTCCCTCACGGGAGTGAAGTTCTTGTCTCGGTTTTAGCCTGCGCAGTAGAGTGGATGTTGGCAATCTGGAGGTAAAGGACAATCGACTGATTCATCTGTGGTTGGCGGCTTAAGTACCAGCAGAATTTTTGAAGATGGGTACGACTCACTATATGAGGATGGAACCATTTCTTCACACCAGCACTTGGAAAGCAGAGCTGTTAGCTGGTTGACAACTACCTTGCCACGGTACTTAATCTGCTCGGGAGGAGGTCCGTCTGAGCCAGCACGTTTGAATCGCTTCAAGCGACGAAGTTCAAGGCAGACCTCTGAGTGGGTAGTTCCATTGAAAAGTTTCAAGGAGAGCAATTAGGCATACCTTTTAAACAATCAGAAGTGGGAGCCTAAGTGGAATGAGATTGGAACTGCGCAGCCCAGAGCCCTTGTGCCTGCGCAAATTAGCGAATAGTGATCCATCAACATCGCAACTAGCTTTACTGAATAAGGTTTTCCTGGGCCAGTGGTCAGAAGAATCAAGAACAGTTTGCGCAAAGTTCCATAGAGCTGCTGTCTCCATCTCCAAAGCGCGTTGAGCTCACCAAGTTTCACGATCATTACACACGCTTTGTTCCCTATTCCTTGAAAGGCGCTTCTAATAGCCCAAAACCAAACGCCCGTTGTTTTGCAGTCCCGTTTTTGAATCAAGGCTTTGACTGAGAACCCGACGTGTTTTACTTTCTGGACTACGGCATTGTGATAGTATCTTGTCTTTGCAGTACAGTGAGAATCGCCCCAAAATGTACGTTAATTCACTGTGTCACAAAGCATATTAAATAGCACTTTATCTACTGCGTCAGGCAGTGGATAGCGTGCCGCTGTCCAGGTCTTATTCACCGCTAACACTTGCTGTGACTGACGTATGTCGGCTAGCTTCGGCTCATCGCTAAACGCAGTGCGTCTTTCTGGTCCAGTCACCCAAAAAAGGGACACAGGAGAATTAACGAGAGAGAGGAAGAGGTAAAGTAAAGAGGCTGGTCGGTGAGACTCGGAGGAGTCGAATGAAAACCCGAAAGCCGCAGAGTCGGGAAAGGAACTTCAAAACCGAGCAAGACCCGCAAACCAGGTCGGGAAGAGGCAGAAGAAGGGGAATCGACGGAGGAACGCGCAAAGGAAGAACGAACGTCGAGAAAAATCGAGCGAAAGGAGGGGAACATGAGAAGAAGAAAGAAAAAGAATAAAAATCCGAAAGAGGAGGCGATAAAAGGAACCGAGGAAGAGGAAAAAAGAAATAAAAAAAAGAGACCGTCGAAGGAGAGATATGGATGAGGATAGAGGCGAGACGAAGGAAGACGACAAAAGGAAGAGAGAAAGCGCAGAGATGGGTCGACGAGAAGGAAGTAAAGAAGGAAAGCAAAGGAGAAAAAAGACGAACAAAAAAAGTGGAGAAGAGGCGAGAGAAAAAGAGACGACGAAGGAAGAAAAGAAAAAAACAGCGGGAGGGAAGGTGACGGAAGGGGAGACAGAAAAGAAGAAGGGAAAAAGGAGAGACGAGAGGAGGAAGGAGGCAGAAAAAAGGAATAACACCTGACCAAGAAAGACACACCGGAAAAACAGAGAGGAAGAAACAGAGAAGAGAGGAAAAGCGGAGTAACCGAGAAGGAACAACAACAAGGAAAGAATATGACAAAACAATCCGCTAAAGGTCGAATCGGAATCGGGGACAGAGAGCTATATCGGGAGGCGAAGAGGAAAGAGAAGAAGAGGGAAAAAGGATAAGAAGGAAAAAGAGATAGGAGAAATGTCGAGACCGAAAATCGGGGGAATAACGACGGAACAAGGAGAGGGGGGGAAGAGGGAAAAGAGAGGATCGGGAGAGTGGGGAGGGGACTCGACGAATAGACGAAAAAAAAGACCAGGAGAGTAGGACAGGGGTAACCAGAAGAAGAGAGGGAGAGGAGAGAGGAAAAGAGAGACCAGGAAAGAAGAAGCAAGGAGACGAAGGAGACTCGAAAACGAGTGGAAGGAAAAGGTAGGACAAAAAGAAAGGAGACAGACAAAACGGCGAAAGAGAATAGAAGAAAAAAGAGAAGGAAGAAAAGACTGAACGGAGAAAAGCGGGAGAGCAAAGGGGGAAAAGTAAGAAAAATACCCGAAAGAAGAGTAAAAACAAGATCGAAGAAAGGGAGAAAAAAGCAGTACGAGAAAAACGAAATCGAGAGAAGAGGAAGAGAGTCGTAAAGAGGGATAAAGAAAGCAGAGGAAGCGGAGAGGTTCGAGAGAGAAACTCGAAAGGGGAAAAGAGGAGAACATAGGAGAAGATGAAAAGAAGAGAGGAGGGGAAAGGGAGGAAAGACTGAATCGATAGAAGGAGAAGAGATTCGAGAGACGAGGAAAAACACGAGAAAGAATCCGAAAAGAGAGTACAGAGGAGAAGGAGCGAGAAGAAGAGAAGAGTCGGAGAAGAGAACGGCGTGTGCGGAAAGTTCGACGAAAAAGAGCAGAGGTGAAGTGGAGAAAAAGGAGAGGGACGAGAAAACGCGGGAGAAGGAGGAGAAGGAAACACGAGACGAGGAGGAACGGATTAGAGAAAAGAGCGGAAGAGAGGGAAAAGGGGAGGAGCCCGATGAAAAGAGGAAAGGCGATAAAAGAAGGGGAAAAAAAAGGGGGAGAAGGGTACGAACAAAAGAAAGAAGCGAGAAGAGTCGAAAACAAAATCGAGAGTCGCGAGAAGAGAAAAAGGGATCGCCGGAAGGAGACGGAAGGGCAGGAAAAAGGAAAAAAGAGAGGAGTAAAGAGAGAAAGGAAATGGAAGAAGGGAAAGGGAGAAGTGAGGAATGGGAAAAGGAAGCAAGCCAGGAGAGTCGAGAGAGAAAAAAAAAAGGGGGAAGAAGAAAAAAAGAAACGGGCGAGAGAGGCGAGAGGTGGTGTGCGCGCGAAGAGGAAAAGAAACGAGAAATCGGAAGCGAACACATATAAAGGGGAAAAAAAAAAGAGAGAGGAACAAAAAAAAGGAAGAGAAAGTAAACGGACAAACGGACGACACGGGAAGGGACAGAGGAGAGAAAAAAGGGAAGAAATCGAAGAGGGAGGGAAATCGAGAAAAGAAGAAAAGAAAGTTATATACGAAGTCCGGAAAGACTGCAAAGACAAGACAAAAGAAGGAAAAAGAGGATGTACTGAAAAGAACCGAAGAGAAGAAAGGACGAAAGAGAAAAGAAGAGGAGATAAAGAGATATATACGAGAGAAGAAGAGAGAAGACCGAGACAGGAAGGTAAGCAGAAAACATAAGAGAAAGAAGAAAACGGAGGCAAAAGCGAAAAGAAGAATAGATGTGAGGAGAAGGGAGTTAACCGCGCGACGAGAAGAGAACGAAGAAAAACGAAGGACTACGAAGGGAGAGGAAGAAAAGACGAAGGAAGGGGGAGGGGAAGGAGTACGAAGAACGATAGAGACAGGTCCATGCCAAACTGCGCAAATATCTCGCTTGGGCATATCATGCCTTAAGTCTAGGGTGTCGCACTTTGCACACGGCTACGGATCGGCCGAAAGGCAGTAGTGACCAGAATACAAGGGACCCTATCGATGGATGTCTGCCGTCTACCGGGAGTTCACTTGCAAGATTGGAGCAGTGTATTTGCTCCACAATCATCGTCAAGTTGAGGCCGCGCCGTTCGAACGGTTTGCGTAACCTTCACAGTCTGTTGTACAGCGAGCGC